AAATAACCGCTTTAACTGCTTTTCTTCTAATTCAATACAAAAACTGAAATTCACTATCCAAATTAACCGAAATACACATTTTAAACTATTTTGAGCAACAGCTGCTCCCTCTCTGTCAATAATCGAATCTTCAGTTACTATTGAGCTCAATTTTGTTTTTGTGTTTTTTGTTCTCCATTAATATTTCATCTCATTTCTAATTGCATGCATTCCCAGCTTTTTGTGAATTACGTTGTCACTGCTGCTTACTGGTCTCATGCTATTATCTGATCAGAACCATTTTCCAGAAAAACACACAAAAACTCAATCATTCATCAATTACAAAATTTTCTTAGTGAAATATTCTCCTTTTCTCTGTTTTTAGATTTGTTCATGTTATAAATGTTAGGATATTTAATTTCTCTCCTTTTCTTTGTGTTTAAATTGTCATAGGATATTTAAATTTCGTTCATGTATTGTTAGGATGTTTAATCTCTGTTTTGAGGTTCTGTTAATGAAAGTATGTGTCTTATCAAAAAGAAAAAGTTCTGATCGATACTTATTGCTTATTTTGAACTGAAAAAGCCTACTTTTGACATAGGTACAATGACACAAAACTTGCATTCGTACTTCCGTCCCAATTGGAATGCCGTCTCATCTTCTGTATACTCTTGTAGTTCTGATCACAAAAATTGCTTGACAAATCGAAAGTCGCAATTAGATCTTTTTGTGGAAGATCTGGAGGTATACTTTCTAACACTTTTTTTTTTGGTTTAAATCTCAGAGAATCAATTTCTGAATGGTTCATGTTTTGACGTTTGTAAGATTGTTCTTCTATTTGTTTGTATACTGCCATGTACAAACATACCAATGGTTTTGTTCAACTGAAAAGATTGACATAGGAAATTTATTCAAGTAGTATAAAAACGTACATATGCCATCTTCTTTCATACAATTTTCGAAAAGTGTTCATTCATCCCATTCTTCTTCAAAAATTAATGGAGGAAGTTATATTAGTCGCATGGTTCAAAGGAGGCCCCATCTCCCTGGTCCAGCTGCTGCTTCATTACCTAGTAGCTTTATCTATATGATTGTGTAGATATGCATATAATATCTTATCTGCAATTTTTTTTTTTTTTTATGAGACTTGAAATGTTGGATGTGTACTTGCAGACTTGAGAAACTTACCCATGTTTGGAGGTCAAAGCAACTTGTGTAGGCAACCATGCCCGAGGAGAGTTTATCATTGTATATGGATTTTTGTTTTTCTACAAACAAATTGCGGCAAAGTGTTGAGAAGAAGACATGACATAATCATTAAGCAGACAACACAATATTCTAGTGCATGTACACAGAGCTGGACAAGCCGTAGTGTAGGTGTGGGACCAAGACAACTGCATGTGGTCTTGACTAGTGCAGAATATTCATCAGATTAGTGATATGTTATTTTATTCTTAAAGTCTCTACCCACATGCAGAATACTTGTATATAAATATAGTCAGCATCTTGTAAACTAAAGCAAGCAATGATAAACTAGTTTCTTCATGGTATCAAGTGCATAATTCGATCATATCTGCATTTTTTTTTCCTCGCTCCATCTCTCTCTCTTTCTCATTTTTCATGGCCTCTTCTAGCAGCGCTCCTGTTTCTTCTCCTGTGGGATCTCTCTTTACCCCAAATATTTCTACTCTTGTCTCTGTTAAGCTTACAGAGACCAACTACTTACTATGGGAAAGTCAAGTCAAGCCCTTTCTCCTTGGACAGAATTATTGGCAATTTATAGATGGCTCTCACCCTTGTCCTCCTCCTTTTCTCACGGCTTCAGCAACTTCTGCTACCTCAACAGAGTCCACAGTTTCCTCATCAGATACTACTACTCCTTCTCCACCCATTTCCCCCAATCCAGAGTATATTAAGTGGTTTCAAACGGATTAAACATTAGTCAGTATGTTACGGGCTACTCTCACTGAACCTATTCTTGCTCAAGTAGTCGGTCTGGACACCTGTCGTGCGATTTGGGAGTGTCTCCAACAACATTTCTCTCAACAATCTCTTGCCAATGCAACCCATCTCCGGTTCCAACTGTTTTCTATCAACAAGTGCTCCAAATATATTTCTGAGTATCTTTCACATGCCAAAAGTTTGGCCGATCAACTTGCTGCCATTAATGAACCAGTGACATCGACTGATCTTGTGACATCCGTACTCCGTGGACTTGGCCCTGATTATGCTATGTTGGTAACTGCTATCCTTAACTTTCCACCGTTACCTCCATTTTCTGATTTGCGGGCACGATTACTCTCATTTGAGTCTCAACAAGCATTCTCTACACTCACTACATCCCCTGCTCCTTCGCCCACTGCATTCTTTTCTTCTCATGGGCGTGGTTTGTCCTCCCGTGGACGTCGTGGTGTTCGCAGAGGTCGTGGTCGTTTTGGACAACTTCTTTTCCCTTCTAGCGGTACAACCCGTGCTTCCTACACTAATTATGATATTGGTTCTCACAGAGGCTCCCGCCATCAGGGTGGTTCCGTCCATCCACCCCACTCATCTGGCATTTTGGTTTTTCTTTTTCCTTTTGTTCGGGTTTTGTTGGCTAGTTCTTTTTTCTTACTGTGCATTTGTGTTTTTAGTTTATTTGTTTTATCTTTCAGTTTATTTTAATTTTATCTCATTTTTTCTTGTTTTTTTGAATTTGTGTTTGTTGTGCAAGTTTCTGACGTTGTCCACTAGATTGAAGGGATGCTCAAACTTCCTCTTATTTTTTCTCCTTTTTTTTTCCCATTGAGTGTTCAGGCGCGAGTCTCTTTTTGGATGAGATCCAAGGGTGTCCACCTCCGACAGTAGTGACTAATCCCTTTCGCCGCGGGAGCTCTCCAAAGGAGGTAAACAGCTGGCCACGAAATGCGCTCCATTTCCATGGGCGGGGATCGAACCCCCAACCACATGGTTAAGGAATGAGGTGAGCTACCACCACACCACATCTCATGGTTGTTTTCAGTGCTATTTTATGTACACTCTTATAGTACTTATTATTGTAATAAAGCATCTATTCCAAAAAAACAAAAAACAAAACAAAAAGAGTTTTTTTTTTGGGAGATTTACTATTATACCCAATATAAGAGCCCAAATTATAAATATAAAAAAACCCTATATGAAATGGACTTTAGAAACACACTCAAAGCTCATTTACAACATAACAAAAGAGCTTTTAACTTGTTTTAAATTACAAAACTGCCATTGATTTCTTAAAACAAACTCAATCCCAAAATACTTAATAAGGCATCAAAGTAATTTAATAATCAAAATTAAATTCAATATGGTCAACTTTCATTTTTTGGATTTTTTTTTGGTTTGTTTATAGAAATTAAATGGTGTAGGGTTTATTTATAATTTTAGAGCTAAGAATGGGTATTTCACTAAATATCTCTTCTTCTTTTTCGTTGGTTTGGGTTTTATTTATTTATTTTTATTTGCTAACGACTACTCAAAGATAAATACTCAAAGCGACACGTGTATGACACGTATACGAAAAGACTCCGAGCAGCGAAAGAAATAAGTTCCCATCTGTCCTACAAGTGTCCTACGAGTGTCTGTTTATGCAACTCAACCTCTTCGTCCTCTTACCTTTCCTCGCATTCTCATCCTTCGCAGAAGAATCAAATCCCTCCAACTCCAAAACATGGCCACTCTCGGCGGAGTCCACGAATCCCATGCCTCCCAGAACAGCCTCGAAACCGAAT